TGTGCTATCGCTTCATTTTAGTGTCTGGTTAAGAAAGAAGAACCCAAAGATCCCTCAAAGATTGAAAACTATAGAGTTATGATAAACAGCTCCAACTCTAGAGGCTCTTGAAGACTTGGGTTCCAGTCTATATGTAGATTTCATTATTGGACTTCTGGAAAGCTAGCCGTGATACATTCAATATGCCAAACACAGTAACGAGTCTCACAATGGAGACGTTACTGGGCCCACTCAAGCAAATCAATGAAAAATGGAAGGACAGTACTACAGTGCTACAGTGCTACAATCAGCATAGAATTTTCTACGAAAAGGTAACTGATTTCTATGTGCTCGGCTGGTTTTAGTTTGGTCACTGCATTCACTCAGGTTTGAGTCTTGGATCAGATTGATAAAACTCTCAGCATCCCTTAAACCAGAATTACAAATCTCTAGCTGTGCTCTTTGAAGGCAATATGTCTGCAAGGTATCTCAGATGGGTCATTCTCGCCTTATTGTCTTTGTTCCCTGTGCAATTTCATTCATATTGTTTTCCCTTTCACCCTCATTATATTTTTATCTAACAACTGCCGTTAGCTACACCAGTCTTAAGAAAAAGGGTAACCACTTGTTTATTTTGAAGACACCTGTGAAGGTGCTCAGAGTTGACTGCTTGCTCTGTTCTTGGGGCTTCTTCCTAGCAGTGATCATGAGGCCCTGGGGTGCCTGGGATTGAACCTGTGCTTCCCTCATGCAAAGCATGTGCTCAGTCCCTGGAGCTATCTCTCTGGCTCCAAAAGTGTAAAAAGGCAAAGGTAAAGGCCCTTCCGTTGATCGTCGATTTGCTCGAGCAGGCCCAGTAACATCTCCATTGGAGACTTTGTTGTTACTGTGTCTGGCATATCGAATACTCTCGGTAGCTTGCCGGGCTCTCTGAGAGGGGCGGAGGAATCGAACTCGGGTCGGCCATGTTGGCTGCTTGTAAGGCGAACGCCCTACCCGCTGTGCTATCGCTCCAGCCCTCCAAAAGTGTAAAGCTACAGTTTTCCTTCTAAATACATCCTTCTATCATAAAATAACCAGCAGTACAATGCAATCAATCATCATCCATTTACCATCTGTTGATCACATCTTCTAAAAGTCCAACTGTTTGTATATCATTCCTTTACTCTTTCTCAAATACTTTATGATTTGGGGACTGTGTGTGTGTGTGTGTGTGTGTGTGTGTGTGTGTGTGTGTGACTTTGCTTAAAATTTTTGAGTTTTCTGGTCCTAACTTTTTTTTCTACAAAAGAGAAAGAATTATCAGGACTGTAATTTAAAAACAGGTATATATTTTTCCAAATGTATATTTTTTTATAATTATAGTTTGACTGCCCAGATGCATGCCGAATGATGTCACCTAGTGTTCTGCAAGTCAACTGCTTTCAGATCTGATGAAATGGTTCCTCAAAATCCTATAACATGTTCTTAAAGGAGATGTTAAGACAAAAGAGCAGAAGAAAAGAACTCCAGAGAAAATACACAATCAAAGCAAACTGTATTCCTACATAAAGTAAAAAAAAAGTTTCTTTTTCTATACTTCCCTCTGAAAAGGACATCTAGAAATGATTTGCAAGGTGTTGAGAAATAATCCATTCGTTCTCCCATGAAATCAAGGTACAGACACTAATTTGTAGAACTGTAATGGGAGGTTGAGTGTCAGGGTTGGGCAAGGTCAGATGCAAATATGCTGGGTTACCTCATTGCAGTTCTCTAGGAAATGGGGCTCAAGGGGGCTCCATGACAGCTCTCATCATCATTACTTGTACGTGGGAAAATTATAGAGGTGAATACTTTGCCAAGTATGAAAGCTACATTTGAAAAGAGGGCATGTTCTAAGAGGGAGACCAGGCTATAATTTTATGTTCCTGCTAATAAAGATTTTGCAGGAGGTTCTTAAGACATTTGGGAAGACCAGAGATCAAGCACTTGTTTGTATGCTTATTTTTAGTGAAAAGCTTGAAGCACAGAGAGGAAAAAGCCCATATTTACTTTTTTGTTTGGGAAGAACTCTAATTTTAATCTATCTGCTAGAAAATTTCAAGAGACTAAAATCATGTAGTTTCTAATAGGGCAACCAGATCAAGATGAATTATTTGAGCCAAAAAGATCAAAAACAACATCTTAATAACAGTAATTTCTTCTATAGAGATTGATTGTGGTCTTAAAAAGTTAAAAACAGGGCCAGAGAGATAATAGTGTGCTGTGTGCATGCTTTGCATGCGGGAAGCATGGGTTTGATTCTGCATGGTCCCCTAAGAAACACCAGGAATGACCACCGGCACTGAGTTTGGACCATTATGTAACTCTTAGGGATTAGATGAGAGAGATGAAGAAAAAGAGACCCATGCCAAAGTCCCAGACAGTTAAGGTACAGTCTGGAGCCAAGATTACTCAAGTGTCATCAATGCCAAACAAGTCATCTTCGCAGGCAGGGGTGGGAGGTGGTTTAGAGGGGTGGGAGGGAAACTGAGGACACTGGTGCTGGAAAATTACACTGGTGGAGGGATGGGTGTTAAAACATTGTATGGGGCTGGAGCGATAGCACAGCGGGTAGGGCATTTGCCTTATGCGGCCAACCCGAGTTCGATTCCCAGCATCCCATATGATCCCCTGAGCACTGCCAGGAGTAATTCCTGAGTGCAGAGCTAGGAGTAACCTCTGAGCATCTCCGGGTGTGACCCAAAAAGCAAAAAAAAAAAAAAATTGTATGACTGAAACCCAATCATGAGCACCTTTGTAATGGTCTCACAGTGATTTAATAAACTAATTTCTGTTCTGTATTAAGTTGTGACTTTAAAAACACAATCACACACAATCACAAATCATCCTGTTATTCGTCGATTGCCTTGAGCAGGCCCCAGTAACGTCTCCTTCATCCTAGCCCTGAGATTATATTCAAGGCTCTTTAGGAGAATGAGACCCATCATTGTTACTGGTATTTGGCAAATTGGGTACACCAAGGGGAGTTTGCCAGACTCTGCCCTGTGGGCAGGCTACATTTGGTAACCTGCCAGTTTGTCCAAAGTAAGAATGAGATAATAAGATGTCATAATAAGATGTCACGCGGCCATGAATGCGGCCGCGCGGTTCCGGGAGCTGGTTTTTATAGTCTCTGAGTCTTGGCCGCTGATGGGATTACACAGCGCCAGGGGGCCAGTTGGTGGGTGTGACCCCCACCTACTGGAATTTGGAGGATCTGGGTGGAGGATGCTCAGCCCAAATCTGAGTAGGCTTGGAGATCTCGGCCCCGGAACCCGCGTGACTTTGTCCCTCTGCCAGTACCTTCATGTGTGCGGAGAGTGGTCTCAGCATGGTGGTGGCTGGTCCTGGAGGTCTTCGGCTGCCGGAGCCCTGGTCGGGGTGGGGAGGAAAGCTCAACCTGCTCCCCTCCAAGGGGTCCCAGTGAGCGAGGACAGTCAGGTGTGGGGGCAGAAGAAAGACTGCACTCTTCTCTTCCGGGAGCTGGTTTTTATAGTCTCTGAGTCTTGGCCGCTGATGGGATTACACTCAGAGACTATAAAAACCAGCTCCCGGAAGAGAAGAGTGCAGTCTTCTGCCCCCGCACCTGACTGTCCTCACTCGCCGGGACCCCTTGGAGGGGAGCGGGTTGAGCTTTCCTCCCCACCCCAACCAGGGCTCCGGCAGCCGAAGACCTCCAGGACCAGCCACCACCATGCTGAGACCACTCTCCGCACACATGAAGGTACTGGCAGAGGGACAAAGTCACGTGGGTTCTGGGGCCGAGATCTCCAAGCCTACTCAGATTGGGGCCGAGCATCCTCCATCCAGATCCTCCAAATTCCAGTAGGAAGGGGTCACACCCACCACCTGGCCCCCTGGCGCCGTGTAATCCCATCAGTGGCCAAGACTTTAAAAACATACCATGTATATCGAGTCATTGATTCTTATGACACAGAGAAAACTTCATAAATAGTATGTAAAGGAGTTCAATTTCTAATCTTCAGCTACTGACTTTTTATTCCCACTCACTGTCCTGCACAGCATGTCAGTATGCACAGACTGAGCTGATTCATCATAAACACTGTAAGGTAAAGGTAAGGTAAAGGCCCTCCCGTTGATCGTCGATTTGCTCGAGCGGGCCCAGTAACGTCTCCATTGGAGACTTTGTTGTTACTGTGTCTGGCATATCGAATACTCTCGGTAGCTTGCTGGGCTCTCCGAGAGGGGCGGAGGAATCGAACTCGGGTCGGCCATGTTGGCCGCTTGTAAGGCGAATGCCCTACCCGCTGTGCTAAACACTGTAGACAATTTTATACTGTGCATACACTGTGTGACTCAGTCACTGCCTACAATAAACATTCCTGCATGCTTTGGTGAAGCTTAGTCAGGATCATGAGTTTCTAGATGGAAAAAAAAGAAAACGAGAGGAAACAAAGTCCACAAAGAGCTGGTTCCTGCCCCTTAAATCGCAGCATCTCCAGAAATCCTTGGAAGCTGGTCTAGTAGCACCGAGAGCCTAGCAAAGCCAAAATATTCCGCAACCAGATGCATATGCTGCTTGCGCCCATGTTCTGAGAACATACAGTGCCTGAGCACATGTGTCACCCGCATCTCCCCTCTTGAGATATGTACTTTTATGCTTTCATGTCTACTGCTGGGACGTGTATAGGGGCTCTCTCTGTCCTTGGAGAAACCGGGTTCTCTCTTGAGCACATTACAGTCCACTCTCTCCCTCTTTCTCTCCCTCCTTCCCTTCAAAACCTCCAATACAAACTGTGTACACTATCTACTCCTGAAATTCTTTTCTGCAGGGCGAGACAAGAACCCAGTAACCCTGGGTCCCAGGTGACAGAGGTGGATTGGTAGAAAGTAACTATCTTTCTCCTCCCCACTTCACATGAGCTACTCGTGGGGCCCACCAACATTAGTATGGGATCCTATCTCATTATTGTTTTGGCCTGCATTTTCCTAATACTAATAAAAGATAAAGAATCTTTAAAAAATATTCTGTGGCTCACCTGTTCCAGGTCCTCTGCTGACTTTTTGTTTTCTCCTGCAGGATCCTGATAGGGCAAGACAAAAAGCTCTGCAGCAGTGGGCAAGCCGGGGAGCACTGCCACCAATATGTGTTGGCCTGGAACTCCTGTGACCTGAGGGAGAGACACAGAAGTTCATGGAAATTCTGCAAGAAAGGAGTTAAGGTTAGGCTCAGTCCTCAGTGGGGAGAGGTAGGTTGGAGCTGAGCAAACGCAGGTGTGTGCGTGTATGGGAAAGTGTGTAGGCTGGGTCCAGGGCCCACTGGGAAGGAAAGAATGAGAGATCCCAGCCAGTGCTATAGAAGTTTGAGCTAAACCCTAGCATTATGAGTCCTGAAATACATTGCTATCCCTCTGTACTGACATTTCTCTAAATAGAAGTATGTGGATAATAGCAGTATTTGCCATGTAAAATTTGATTTCAAGAATTAAGTAAGTTACAGTACAAGAAGCACTTGCAGTAATGCCTAGGGAATCAAACATTAGGTCTTCTTCCTAAATGGTCCAGTAAGTGGGGACTCGCAAAGAAGACATCCTCTTACTGAACCTATCTCTTCTTTCTAACCTTAATCCTTTCCAAGACTGATTTCTCCTTGCTGCAGCACTAGTTATTCTCCAGACTGACCAATCACATGCCAGTCATCTACCCAAATAGGATCACCCATATTCAACCCTGAGGTTATCTTTTCAACAGCTCCTGAACCTGAAGACCAGCCCATTTCAGAAAGTACTTTGAGCTTTTCACTTTGCCATATTGAGGCTCCTGTTAACATAATATCTGTCACGCAAGGACTTCCTCTTTTGAGCACATATTCCATTAAGATATTAATTTCTCTCCCTGAGCAGGTTTACAATAGGATTTTCATCCCCAAGAGAGAGGAAATCATATCTAGATTTATATTACTACATTCCAGCTCTGATCAGTTTCCTTAAACAGTTTCCTTGTTCAAATTCTTGTAATGGGTCTCATTACCAAGTGGATTAAACATATATTCAGTGCCTTCTGCAATATGGCTCTGCCCTTTGCAAACAAATGTTTCACTACTCACAAAGCCATATGCCCAGCTAAATGGAATTATGTATAAAGCATCAATATTCCAGATTTCTCCTGCAAGTATTTTGAGCATGCCAGCTTCCCAGCCTGTCTTTTTCTCTACATCTGTAGCTAGAACTCTACCCTTCAGGCACGTTTAGAAAGTCCACTTCTTTCAGTATATTTAATTTTTTTTCCAATTAGATAACTGATTTTAAATTTCACATTTGTGAAATCCCTTTTCAAAACAATAATGCCTTATTATATTTTTTGGGTTGTGATCATGTGTCAACTCACTTGTCAGTAATAGTGCAATCACTAATCTCCAAAAGACGGTGGGATATTAGGAACAGGAGCAAGATCCATTGCCTTTTAAGACTGGGTAATTACCAGTCTTAGAAATTTTATTGTGTTAACCCTCTGTTGAGTCAGGCTGTTTATTGTGCAGTTAATTCATTATATTATACAGCAGGCTAGAAACACTGCTGAGAAGTCACTTCTAACCAACTGGACATCTGGTGGAAAGGTGAAGATTAAGGGTACCTGATCCTTAGACAATCAGTACAAAGAAAACTGGGTTTGGAAGACCGGTTGCTGCTGAGTTATCCTTTGTTAATAAATCACCTAAAGGAATTTGCTGCCTGAGAGATCAATAGAGGTATGAATCCAGAGAACATTGCACCTGAAGGAGGTTTGAAGTGGATACAGTGAGAGGCAGAGGACGTCTTTGACAGTAGAGAAGAGAACCCAGTTTTCATACAAAGGACAAAGAACCAATGGCTGAAAAGTCCTGCCGGGTAGTAATTATGTGTCTTCTTAGTGTAGAGATTCCAACATAATGGATGTTACAAGTCAAAAAGGTAGAAATGGCATTTACTCAGAGACTCTTTTTCTTCCCCCCACTTTCATTCATCTTTGTTTCTTCATGTAACACAGCATAGGATAGTAATAGAGTAAGTAGTTAGGAAGCCACATAACCAAGTTCCTAATCTTGAGGATCTAATTCTGGGAACTGGTTTTTAACTGTATGACATTAGGCAAGTTATCGGTTACTCACGTTTCCCTCCCCACCCTGAGCAGAGCTCTGGCAGCCAAAGACCTCTGGAACCAGCCACAGCCATGCTTAAAACCACTCTCCATATTTTCAGAAGAGCCTCATGCATGAAGGAACCAGCAGAGGAACCCAGGCATGTGGGACCCGGGGCCAAGATCTCCAAGAATGCTCGGATTGGGACTGGGCCTCTTCCACCCTGATCCCCCATCTTCCAATAGGTAGGTGTTACACCCACCAACTGCCCCCCCCACCCCCCGTGCCATGTTATCCCATCAACAGCCAAGACCCAGAGACTATAAAACCCAGCTCCTGGAAGCTCACGGCAGCATTTGCGGCCACACGAAATCTTATTATGTAGTTCTTACTCTTGTAGAACCCGGCAGGCTACTGAGAGTATCCTGCCCATACACAGAGTCTAGCAAACTCCCCACTATGTACTTCTACTATCAGCACATCTACTGATGGCCTAATTGTGAACACTGTTAGAAGACCATCACAGATTTCCATGTTCTTCTTATCAAAGAAGAAGAAAAGCTTCACAGGTAACTAGGTTCACATGGTAATTTACAGTTGAATTGGTCCCTAGCATCTTGGATTTGTCTGCCAGCTGTAGGCTTTGCTTTGCAGATATCAGGCAGACTAACTAGATCTCTTGTGAGTTCTACATCTTTCACGTCACTTTGTAGTCCATTGGTCTTTTGACAGGGCTCTTCAAATAGAAGAGAAGCGTTCTTAGGAAATAAAAAGAATTTTCTGTACTTACTTCTACCAGGGACTTTTTGATGACTCGGCTAATATCTCTCCTCCACTCGGGGATGTCTGGGTTGTAGTCGTCCAAGTTTGGAGAAAAAGAAAGACGAAGAGATCGGAACTCCTCTGGGGATACAACACAGTCCAATGGTTATTATGTGGAATAGTTCTCTGCAAAAGTCTGTTACATATTGCCTTGTACACAAAGCTGTAATGAAGGGCCTTTCCCTCCGTAATCACCACACACCATTTCAAGATAGATAATCTACTATTTCATCCTTCTTAAATGTCTGTTCCTCATTTTCTGGATTAAAGTCCATGGTTCTGACCCAAACCTAGCTCTGAAACATCTGCTTCTGAAATTCTCTCTTTTGGATGCTACAGGGTCCTAACCCTGGACATTTGCACACACAGTTACTCCAGTTAAAATATTCCACCCCATGCTGTCCACGTACAACACAGTCTAGCTATGGGCCAAGCATTTACTACTTTCATTCAGCTTGAGCTTACCCACCAGGTGGTTTTTTAAAAATGGCTTTATTATCATGTTCACATATTTTTATTATCACAATATGAAATTATAACAATCATAACTATATTATTATATGGTTATAATAATTATTGTCTGCATTCAATTGTTATTTTATGTGCATGCAAGTTTTATTTAATGGAACTTTAAGTTCCTCAATTCAATGGTTTTATTTATCTCTGTAGTCACTGGGTTGATCTTGGTCTCCTAGGAAGTAGAAGGGTATTCAAATTGGATTTTTACAGAAAGCATGAGGAGGTACACGGAAACATTTGTCGCCTCATTAGACACAACGCATATGTAGCACCTAGTGAAGAGAAAGCGGGAGAGAAAGTGACCGCTCTGACATCTGAAAAAGGTTAACCAAGACTGCTGGCATTTGTTGAAGCCAAGGTCAGTTGAAGAAATGTTCTGTGTTCCAGGAATAAAACCCTGTCTCCCCAGTCATGCTGTTACCCATATCACTGGTTGCAATCAACTTCTGGATGGTGAGGAGATGGATTTTGGAATATAATTCTGGAAGTTTTAACCCCTCACTGGGTTCAGCATGTGGTCTATATAGTTAGATCATGTTGCTACCCTAACTCACACAATCTTAGGCTTCCATATGACCAGGTATTGACATTCTCTCCTGCCTCGTGTTCTGTGGGCTTCCCTCACTCCTCGGGGTCTTTCCTGCACTTTAGGGTTCTATTCCTTTCTCTCCTCATGCTCCTTCTCACATTCTTGCCTGCTCCTCCTTAAAGCAATGGCTCTTGATAATGTATGCATTTACATGTGCAAAAATTAATTTCTTTCTTCTTTCAAATATGTCACTGTGTTCCAGTAGAAGTTCAGTGTTCTGGCAATGCCAATTATACATTCAAGAAACATAAAAGCCTTGTACATTCCCTAACAATGAAAATTACTTATCAAACACTGGTTTTGAAGACTCTCATATTGTAAGCAGCATATCTATGGCAGTCAGTCTATTTCAAAGACTTATTTTTCATAAATTAACTACTTTATGAGTCACTGGTCACTGAGGTGAGTTCTACTGCTTCAGTTCTAATGGAGAATAATGAAATGCATATTAATTAATACCACGGTAAAGAGCAGCATCAAGAAATCACCGAATGAACCCTAACCTATCTCTTTGAAAATATAAGTATATGCAGACTCTTATGAAGCTGTAGGATTTCATCTATGGGGAAGATGTTTATCTTAATAAGGGATACAAATGAGAAAATGATACTGCACCCTTTGTAATTATTCACATGATGTTAACAGAGTAAGGAAGGGGAATATAAGAAAAACAAAATTCAGCAAATGGGGCAGTACATAGGAGGGCTCAAAAGGAAAACTCTAATATATATTTTGCAGCTGCTAAGAGAGATAAATTCTAAACATTCACCTATTTTTGTTGTAGCTTCTGTTTAAAAACAAATTGAGAAAAACAATACAGCATGGATTTCCAGTCATTCAAGTCGACTGGTTAGCAATAAATAGATGAGTTTTGGTCTTCTAACTCTCCAAATGTAGTGCCTCTTTCATTATGATGAGAATAGTCTATGTTCGCCTCTGATTAAAAATGTTGGTGATGTACCTTCCTGGCTGCAGACTCTAAACTCCCTTTCCTTAGAGTATTTACTTTGGAAAACTTTCACTCATATGTAATTCTTTCTTTGCCCTTTGAGATAAAAGGTCATTCTCAATCCGGGAATGCCTTTCTTAAGTATCTGGGAGCCATCTCATTGAAATGTCATGAGAATAGATAAGACACCTCTCTCTGGGGGTGTAAGAACTAATCTCCATAAGCATACTGAGCAAATCTAGTGAACTAATTCCTTTTTTCCTAATTCCTGTACTGTCTTTTTGACTAGATAACCCCAAAGTTTAAAACATCTTCTTGCCTATTATGCTAGTAAATTGCTGTTACAATTTTCCTGCAACAGGTTACACCTGTGATTAAAGAACCCCCAAGAGTTCTATAATCACAGGTGTTGTGATTATAATCTATAACTGTAATCACAGTTTCATATATATGTGTATACTTATACATATATATGAATATTTGAATTGTCCAGAGTTTCATATATATGTGTATACTTACACATATATATGAAACTCTGGACAATTCAAATTACTTAAGACACATAAAGGATCTGTGAATAGATCATGATTCCAGTTGGAGGAGGAATTTCCTCTGCTTATACTTTTTGAGGAGACCATTTCTAATGAAAATTCATTTGTTGGAGAGTGAGCCACTCCTTGATAGTGTCATTAGAGATTTTAAGAAAACAAAAACTCGGCATAGACAGGGGTATGAGATACTTGGAAATATTTCCTCTGGGTTCAGAATTTTTAGATTCCGTTGATTAACTTTGTCTCATTTGTAAAACAGAGATAATGATAGCATATTTTTCATAAGTCTACTCTGGAGAATTCAATAAAACAGATCACATATATCAAGTGCTTTGAACAGATGCTAGTAAGGGTTTCATCAATGTTAATTACTACCTGACTATCACTATTGTTATTACTGAATCTGCTACTGAATAGCAGAATGATTTTAATTCAGTAATTTCCTATTTCAGGGCCACAGTTTCCTATCTATAAAATGACAGGTTGGACCCAATAAACCCAAAGCCTTTTAAGATTGAAAGTTAGCACTGTGATTCTAATGAGGAGGCACTCACCCCAGAGCACATCTGTTGGGCTTTAATGGGTTGGTGCTCATTACTTCCACCTGGGACTCACAGATGGGGAGAAAAGGAGAAAAAAAAAGAGTGGGAAAAGATAGGAGGGTCGGTAAACTAGTATAATTTCTAAGCATGGGTCCTTGCTCTTGCTGGGCTGAGTTGGAAGCCTACTTCTACTAGCAGGGAGCGGTTACCTCTCAAAAAATAGGTGTAGTAATAACACTTCCCTTATACTAGACTTGTGACGATGATGAAATGCACTCCCGGAGAACAGACGGGAGATGGAGAAGGAGCAGAGAGGCAAAAGCTCTTCATTCTGACTGCCTGGCTGAGAGGTAGCCTAAGTGGCTGAACTGGGCTCAGAAAATTGCAGCCCTGGTTTACTTTCAGTTGTTATTTGGCCTCATCCAGCCTCGGGAGTGGGAGGGCTGATGAGAAGGAACTAGGGCCAAATGAGCAAGGGTCCTTAAACACATTCAAATTGTTCACCGATTGCTTCCTGAACTCAAAAGCCAAGTGGACAAGATAAGAAATGTAAACCGGGACCAGCATCTATGGCAATTCATGTTGGAACTATGATCACGAGCGTGTTATTATTATTTGAACCGCTAACATGTGTTGGCTATTCTCCAGGAGAAGAGGGTAAGTTGAGATAGTCTCTAGCGCTCTGCTTCCTAACCAACACAGCGGAGCACTGGACATGGGAGGAGTGGCCAGGGCAGATCACTCACCATACACGGCGATGGTCTTTGTGTCCTGCAGGATAGCATTCCCAGCAGACACCTGCACCGTGATGGTGTTCATCCCTTCAGAAGTGAACTTGAACGAAAGGCTTCCCTCTAAGGTGATCAAGGGCTAAAATAAACCAGGATCCAAAGTGAGGGCCAGCACTTCCAGATGAGTTGAAATCAGTTACAGATGAATTCCCATTTAACAATCTACTTAAATCACCAAAGTGCTCCTGGGGTACTCCAGGTAGAGACCTGCTTCCCATTTCCCCACACTCTCAGAAAGGGGCTGCGAGAGCTATGACCCAGAGAAATTCTTCCCATTTCTTCTGAATCAGACATTTCCTCTGTCGGGAGCCTCCTGATTCTGTGCTTGCTTGGAGGTCACTAGGTTCTGCTTGTGGGTGGGAAGCAAATCACATATCAAGCACATCCCTTAATATAAAGAAACCCTCCTATCAAAACCAAACAGGAGGTGCCTATTCATTCAGACTGAAGCAGTGGTCACAAAAAGCTCTAAGCTTCTTGTTCATCTCCAGGGGCTGCTAGTTATGTGAAATGACAAGAGAGCACAGCAACCACGGACACCAAAGCTGCACTAGTTAGACAGGAGTGGCCTGATGTGACTTGGCCACTGCTAAGGAGCCCTATTAGCAGTTTCCTCCAAGTAGCTGCTATGGAAACAAGTACTAATTGGATAGTGGTTTGAAAACTCAAAAATAAAAAAAGGGGGGGTGGGGGTGGGGACCGAGTTGTAGTAATGCCTGCAATACAATCAGATGCTGGGGGAATGGCAGAAAAGACTATTAGCCTACTGACCTCCCTGGATTCATTCTCCAAACCATTTCTTTTCTGTCTTTTTAAAATTATTGTTAAAATCAAAATTCAATCAGCTCCCTAGATGGCAGAGGGGAGATGAAAGATGAAAGCCCAGCATGAAAAAAGATCTATTCAATACAGTTTCTTGAAAATTTGTTTTTCTGTTAAAATAGGGGTGTGTGTGTGTGTGTGTGTGTGTGTGTGTGTGGGACGGGGGGGGGGGGGGGGGAGCATGGCAATGCATCGAAAAAGAAAGAAGACAAAAAAGTTATTTTAGTACTTCTAAACTTTCAGTTCTAGCTTGCAGGCAGGAACCAGATAAACTCTTCCACTATGGGCAGCAGTCTGATTTGGTGCCAAGTTTTCAGGCACAGTTTTAGTGGAAGTAAAGCGGAGCTTATTTTAGCTTTCTGATGTCAGCTGAGAAGTGAGATTCCTTCTACAGCAGATTGGTCACAGTCTAGAGGCAGGACAGGTTTTCTCTCTGGGCTTCTGCAAAAAAATTTTTTTTTCTAGTTAAGACCAAACTTCAACTTCAGCAGGGAAAGGGTCACTTTTAAATAAAACATATTGCAGTTGAGCAGCTAGTGTGCCCAGAGAAAGGAAGTGTGAGAAAAAAGCTCACCAGAGCAGTTTGTGCTGGTGTTTTGGAATGAAAGAAGCTTTAGGGCCTCTGACCTATGGCTTAGCTAATATCAGCAGGGACCTTTTAGATTTTGAGAGTGGAGGAAGTTCAAAACTGGTACAGAGCATGCAGTGAGGTATGAGGGGAAGATAAATTCACTTAGACCTCAGAAGGCCTTGACTTTGGCTTTGGCATGAACCAGCTAAATGAGATTGGAATCAGCCACTTCATCTACATCGACCTTACTTTTTATATCTTCAAAATAAAGGATCTATGGTAAAGGGGATTGAGGGTTTTAACTGTCTTTACAACTGCAGCTAATCTTGGCATGCAAGCATCAGGGAGAAGGATAAAGATGATCTAATGGCCCTGTCTGACTCACGGTGAGCAAGAACTTCCGGGGCATGGTTGTAACAGACATCTCTTGCTTTATCCTGGCTGATATCCATCCATTTACCTCTCCTACTTGAGGGCTATTTCCTTCCTTATTTGTTCCAAGTACTCACTTGAAGACTTCTCTCCCCACCCATCACACTACATCCAAGGTCTGGCCAATGATATTTAATGGCAGGGTTTCTGTTAGAACTTCTGGAAAAGAGCTGGTTTTCTCTGCTATCTTGTGAGTAGAAAGTTCTGGCAACTGCTAAAGTTCACTGCACAGTCCAGCTGGAGAAGAACGCTAACATGGAGGGCAGTGGGATGGGAGGGAGGGGAGAAGGGTAAGACAGAAAGAGGCGAAGTATATGACGAGATACTGGGACATCAAGAGCCTGCTGGTACTGATGCTTGGGACACTCCCATCCACTCTGGAACTCCACCCCACCATTTTATTCCCATTTGGGCATCAGCTACTGAAAGCTAAGATTCCACTAGAGCCCAGGCAGAAGGCAGACCCACCTCTGTGTTGTTCCCATACCACCACACGTAAGTGAGGGTGCCCACTTGGCTGGGCCACAGCACTGCAGTTGCATTGACTTCCTTGTTCTTGGTGGTGACAAAGGGAAGGGATAGGTGCACATGCTCCAGAGGACCTGAGGCACAAGAAAAAAGAAGAGCCATAGAGAGGAAGGAACATCCTTGGTTTCAGCATCCCTGCTCTGAAGACGGTTTCATTCTGAAAGCATCTGAAATGACATGGCCATCCAACCAGAGGGAAGAGCTCCAGCTCTTCTTTTCTCCCTGCTTGGGAGAAAAGAAAATAGTGAACCAACATCTCAACATTTCCCACTGACTGGATCTTTTTTTCATGCCTACTACCTGAGTTTTTTATGTGTGAAAGTGAAGAATTTGACAAATACTTGATGAATATCTTTAATGAACGGGCATCATATGAGCTTTCATAGGGAGATGCAGGTCTCAGGGGTAAATGAGATTTATGAAAGTCTCACAGTATCTATGGTGAGTAGTGGCAAGGCTACAAGTTTTTCTATACACTTTGTGGACATGAGATCTGTGTGAGTATATAAAGGTGGCTGTATTTGTCTGAGTGTGGCTCAAAGTATCTGTGGAGTTGAGTGAAGATTTTCCAGGACAAAAACATCCAAGAGTAGGAGGAGAGAACTCTGTGGTTATCTGATTCGTAGGAAATATCCAACTGCATACCAGAAGGTTCATAACCATGGAGGTCTGTTATATCCAAAATCTCGTTGAGATTTCCAGACCCAAAAAGCTACTAAAAGTTTCACAGAGATCCACTAAGACCTGTTCCATGACCCTGAGCTCCTTGAATGACAGTAGGCACTAAAGGCAGTTTCCTCTGAGAAGAAAGTGACAAAAACCAAAACAACACAAAAAAGAATCTGTCCTTCACACCATTATTTCAGGAGTTACAGAAATAAATGGCACCAGAGACAACAGATTTAATGACTACCCTGCCTTCTGCTGGGCCTTTCTATTTGCTTTCCAGAGTGCTGTCTTTAGCCTGATTCTGGCCCTCGTGTACTCTTCAGTGGGAAATACTACCCACATCCTGACCTATAAGGCAATATTTGGGGCTTACAGCTCTAAAGCACTTTCTTGGCTCCAACTCAATTAACAACAATGATTCCCAAGGAACCATTATCATCCCCATTTGGTATCGTCCAAATCTTAGTGAACAACACTGGCGTTGATCTAAGGGCCTAACCCAGAAGTGGAAAATCAACCTAGATTCTTTATTCTTCCTCTTTTATGGCCTGAATTCACTTAGAAAACCCACAATTTGTTTTTTCTGAGCATCTCTCAGAGCTTCCCTGCTCTGCAGACCTGCCCTGGTTCAGACACTGAGCACCATCCCCCCTGCGGCTCTCACAGCTCTTGACAGATGGACCTGCCTTTCCCTTTCCTGCTCTAACCCAGCCTCCAGATTGTTGCCAGAGAGAATTTTATCCTAGAAAGCCAAGCTGACAAACGACTCACTTGCTCAACATTAAAATTCCTATAACCTAATTATCATAAATAAAGACAGTTTCCACAAATGTATCTAATATTTGTAAGACAGGGAGTACAAGCTGCCGCCTTATGAGGAGTGAGGGGTAGTCTTTAGTATTTTTCTCAATAGATAAAATACAGTGTGGTACCTCACTTGTAGCAGAAACCTGTACATTCACTCCCCTTTCTGCCTTGTCTGTACTTTTCTCTATTTCCAGAACTAGAGGTTTGTTGACCAACAGGTAGAATACACTTGATTTTTCTCACATATAAACCATTAATTAAGAAGGAATTGACCATAAGCCAGAATGGTTCAATGAAATAATAAAATCAGCACACTTATTGACTAATGGCTCTCTGCTCATCTATTCTTTCCCCACCACATTTAATCCTCTTAATTGTCTAGGAAAGTAGGTGCTGCTCTTTTCTCTCTCCCATAATGAGATGAAGGCAACTTTCCCAATGTCCCACATGAGGAAATATCAATTCTAGGGTGTGAACCAAAGTAATTGGACTTTTAGCTCCTGTGATGGTCAGCTAACAACTGTTTGATAAGATTTCCTTCTGCAACTTAACAAAACTGTATTGAATCACTACTAGAATGAGCATGAGGCTCAGTGATATTGGACATGCCTGCATGTATGAGGCCCTGTGTTCAATGTTTGGCATCATAAGTACACATATACATACACAGAGTCACTACTGATTATAAGAGTTTTCAAGATTTTGAAAAATGTACTTTACAGAGTCTCTAACTTACTGCGTGGAGTTTGGTATTCCCCAACACATGGCTGGCTTGGGTAGGTTATGCCTTGCCCATTCCAACTCTGTTCATATACACTTCTTATGGAACCTGCCAATCCAATTCTATGTTCCCTCCTGGGGTGAGCCTCTTCCTGACTTCACTAATCTGAGTGAAATAAATGTATCCGTTAAACTATCAGAAATGGATGCGTGAATTCTATTCCAAAGGGTTCCATTCCCTTTGTCCCCATGAAAGAGAGTATTTAATCATTTTTCTGAAGTCAGAACTTCAAAGCAAGAAGAATACGTGTTTATCTGCTTTAGGCCCAATGTGGAATCTGGCTAGAGAATTCCAACCCTTCATTCACTCATTACTGTTTGAGGACTTCAATGTGTTGGACATTACTCTAAGTATCGAGAAGCCATGGCAGTTGGTGAGTTTTATGCATGATTGCAGGAGACAGGCAAGGAAGAAAGAACAGAAGTAGGGGAGAGCGTGCTGTGTGTGAGAAGGTTAAGTAATCAGAGGAAAAGACACTTTGAGAGGTGAATGGATGAAAGGAAATGAACTTCAGTGAATATTTCTTTGGAATGCTCCAAGATGAGAGGGGAGCAAGTACAAAGATCTGGAGAAAGGTGTGTGTGTGTGTGTGTGTGTGTGTGTGTGTGTGTGTGTGTGTGTGTACCATGTCTGAGAGGTAAAGAGCGACAATGTCAAAAGGATGCAGTGGAAAGATGAAGGGAAATAGGGGAAGCTGGCAAGATCTAAGAGGTTCTCAGAATACACAAGACACAGTTCTTGTGGGCCCTGAGATATTTATGAATGTCTTGACAAGCTCATGTACATTATGCATCCATATGTAGCATTTACCAAATTTCTGCAACTTTGAGGATTTGCTACTTTTCAAGTGTTTTATTTTATGCCTAGTTCCTGACGCTCTACTCTCTTTTAAGCAATCTATTTTTTTGAACAGAAGACACAGTCTGTCCTAAAGGACTATGGGAAGTGAAACTGCAGCCACTGAAGGACTCAGGATAGTTGCTTTAAGCCAGAACTGAGCCCATGTCACCTACTGACAGGTGCATGATGTGATGCATAAAAAGGCCAGCAGGTGGAGCTGCATCACTCCATATGAATCTTCCCAGCAAGGTGGTTGAGAGAAGCAGGGAATTACTTGTGCCGGTTGGGTTTCCCTCCTCTCTTGTAGTTCAGAGTTCCTGTGCTGTAAGAAATAGTTTGTGTATTAAGGCTGCATATCCTGGGTATACAGACTGATTATATCATTCTGGTCTGCTTCTAGCTTTTATTCTGGAGACGGTCTCTCATCACCTAATTAAATATTGTGAATCACATTGCTGTTTGCCTGAAAAAAAAATCCTTTAATCCACTTGAAAAGTAAAAGTGGTTTTAAATAACAGAACCCAGATGGGGTCATTAACAATAAGATCCTAAAACACCCTCAAAAATCAGTGTGCATAAGAATCATACTGATATGTAGATTAGGAGACCACTCTTAAGAAATTCGAATACAGTAGATCAGAAGTGGAGTCCAGGATAATGCAGTTTTACCATGCAATGCCCAGGCTGGGGCTGCTAGCTTTTTAGACTGCCCTTCACAAAATTTAGGTGTGACTTTTATAGACTGAGATAATGATCACGATCATGTAAATAGATGCAAAAACACACAGGCTGGAGGGTAGGGAAGGGGACACATCATTTTAAGAAGACAAAAAGCTGTGAATGGCTCCTTGGTAAAGGAGCAGTTGGGGAGAGAGGTTGAAGACTAGAATACCCACCTCATCCTGCAACAACTCCCATTTTGCAAGCCTGCATATTCTCGAGGCATATTCTTGGGGATCTTGTTTTCTGCAAGGCTAGCTGAGCAAGGGCAGTTTCCTGGGCAGAAAGCTGCATGTCCTCTAAATTCTCCCCCCATCCAGCTGAAAGCAACACTGACTGTGCCTCCTGTCTCATTAGTTTGCAAACTAGCAGAGCACAGTGAATACTATCCCCAAGGAATTTCCAACTGTCAGGCTACAACAGATTACCCAGCCGCCCAGCAAGGGCTGCTAGCCCACTCCTGAAAACATTACAGGAGGAACATTATCTCCATTTGTTTCTGGTGACCTTTGCAAACCAATACTGAAAAAAAAAAAAAAAAGCAAAGCCCCAAATACCAAATCACCTTTCTGAACTGGAGAGTGGAGGAAATGTGTGTTTAAGTTAAGGAAAGGAGTAGAGTTCATGCCCCATTCAATCAGCTTAATCAATGGCTGAATAAATAGCAGTACTCCTACATTAGCACTGTCCTCCTGTTGTTCACTGACTTGCTCGAGTGGGCCCAGTAACGTCTCCATCGTGAGACTTGTTGTTACTGTGTTTGGCAAATGGAATACGTCACGGGTAGCTTGTCAGGCTTTAGGCCGTGCAGGCAGAATACTCTCGGTAGCTTGCCGGCCTCCAAGAGGGATGGAGGAATCGAACCCAGCTCGGCCGGCCGGCGGCATGCAAGGAAAATGCCCTACTGCTATGCTATTGCTCCAGCCCACTCCTATGTTATAAAAAAATTAAAGTTAAGGAAATGGGCTTCCTGGAGAGGGGAGGATGGAGGATGCTAGAAGTACTGAGTCTTAATGGGTGGCTTCTCGGAACCCCCTAAGTCCAGATGCATGACGTAACACTTGCTGCTGATGGGAAGTTATATTTGACATGTTGACAGAAAACTCTTTATTTTGCTGAACTGCTGAGGAAAAAAAATGTGATTCTCAGAGTCAGGAGCAATTTGAGGCTCAGAGAAGTTGAATGATTTAGCCAGGAGTTTAGGCTCACAGCTGGCTCTAACCACTCCCAAGTCACTTCAAGGCTTAATTTTAATTTCCTTCTCTCTCTCTCTCTCTCTCTCTCTCTCTCTCTCTCTCTCTCTCTCTCTCTAAAAGACAGTCTTTCCACCTAACGTCTTCCTTGTATCTTGGTCTTGACCATGGGACTGTTTAAGTGGGAAGCAGCTGTGAGTAGGAGTAGCTGAAGGTATTAATTCTACAATCTCTCGGTGTAACTCAGGCCGTAGCCAGGCACAGAAGTGCCTCTTTGTGTCCCTCCATTCGGAGAGAAAGGCAAGAGCTGTCTCTACTGGGACAAGTGTGAGGGGAAGCAGAGACATTGATGTGCGGAGCAGTCCATGGGTCTGTCAGGAAAGAGCCACTTAGGAAAATGTGTCAGAACCTGCTGAAACTGCTTAGGACATAAGTTTTGATGCAGAGGAGCAGCGAATAAAGGATTCAAAACAATCCTGCTTGGATACAGTTATCACCAAAGAGGTAATTCTTGTCTCCCAGGATCGGCTTAGAGAGGGATTCTAGTCTCACGGTCTTGCTTAGACAAGCATTTAACCCAAGGTGAGTTTTGAAAAAGTGACTATCAAAACACAAAGCTGCATGTTACAAATCATCTGCCTTTGAGGTTAGAGGCAAACAGTTTAGGCACTCAGCAACAATAGAAAAGCAACTGAGCCAAAAGTCTTTTTCATAAAAGGTATGGGTTCTTCAGTACATAGTCTTTTTTTTTTCCTGTTTGCTTTTTGGGTCACACCCAGCGATGCTCAGGGGTTACTCCTGGATCTGCACTCAGGAATTACCCCTGGTGGTGCCCAGGGAACCATATGGGATGCTGAAAATTGAATCCAGGGCAGCTACGTGCAAGGCAAAAGCCCTACCCACTGTGCTATGCTCCAGCCCTCAGCCCATAATTTTGAACAGAAGCGAACTCCATGCTGCTTTGCTTCTTGAGATTTGGCAAGCCTAGGAAGGAGCTGAGAGAGAGAACTATCAGGAGATGTGATTGTGGGTTTGACAAGGAAGACTCCAAGGGGTGATGTGGAGGCTGAGCTGCAAATGAGCCCGCTGGAGATTGCAGGAAATACAGAGAGCTGCTGTTGATTTGCTGAACAATTTCTCAGTATTTACATGTGGCTAAAGTATGCTAATTGTCTAATGCAGAGATGGTATATGGAATATAACTAGTGTTTTGTTTTTTTGTTTGTTTGTTTGTCTTTAGCTTTTTGAGTCATACCCCGTGATGCCCAGGGGTTACTCCAGACTCTGTACTCAGGAATAATTCCTGGTGGTGCTCGGGGGACCATATGCAATGCCGGGAATTGTACCCAAGTCAGCCGCGTAAAAGGCACACACTCCACCCACAGTATTATTGCTCCGGTCCTTAATTATTATTATTTTTAAGAAGAGAAGCCTTCAAATGAAAATATCCCTAATGGGACAAATGGTGGAAAATACGCTGCTTGTTAGGTCGCTATCTCTGAAAGGGTTCTCACTGTGTTTCAAGTGATTTTTACTTCTAAATAATACGGCCATGATATTCTTTTAAGGTTTTATGATTATTCCTATATAATACAAATGGGGATCTGCCCCCAAAGATAATGTTTAGAGGGGGAGGTATGTCTTAGAGGCAACTCCAGAAAGTATAGCACAGTTTACAGGACTGGAGTTGACAGGAAAGAAATAATGTCTGAAGCTCACTGGCTCGATAGCAAAGGCCTGCTTCTAACTTAAATGTTAATGTTGCTTTGGAACAGTCTGCAAAGACATGACGAAATAGAATAGCTGATAAGACTTTGTTATTCACCCCCAGAGACACCACTGGCCCTGTCAGTGTTAACCTTAATGATCAGGAACTTGCAGTGCTATATTGCTGAGTCAGGAGGCCCTGAATCTGAATCCTGGCTCTGTCAGGTGGTAGGTTTGCAACTTCTATGGATCATTTTTAATCTCTAATTCTCATCCTTATTCAGTAATGTAGGGAATTCGGTAGCGCCTACTTCATTAGGTTCTCATAGGATAGCAGATAGCAACAGTCTATTTAGTATATGCATAGTACACAGTAAAAACTCAATTAAATTTAGCTGGGTAAAAAAAGATTGGTGACACTCTTGTAAACATTACTTAAATCAAGAAAGGGTGGTGTGTTTCTTTGAAGTTCCTCTGTCATGAGTATACAGTAGATAAAAGTCAAGGATTATAGATTTGGCAGGAGTATATACAGTGACCCCTGAAGGATCTCCAGAATCGCAGCAAGTTTGAAGTAATGCTCAGTAGTACTTTCTGCACTCAGTTTGGTCTAATGAGTCAGTGGGAGGCATGGGACACTTCGTGGTCTGAATTTTGAGGTCATGGCTTAGTACTTGGGGTTAACTTGAATAAGATCAACCATATAAGAGAACCATTTCATTTTAAGGCAAAGCATCTCTCTATCAACCAAAACTAGCCCTGTGTTGGTTTGGTGGATAACTGTGCAGAGGGATACTCATGAGGGATACAAGGGACCAATTTTTACCAAGTGTAACATAAGCATTTTCATTGTATTATCATATTTAGTATGCTTGTAGATTCCTCAGTGGAAAAAAGCTTTAACAATTCCTAAAAGCAGGTTTCCTAGGATACCTTCTGTAACAGAGATTTACACATTGCTAACTTCCCTCTAATACCAAAGCATTTTGTACAGAAACTGAGAATACATTTAAAAATAAAAAGGGCACGATTATAAGAAACCACTATGAGACAAAACATGAGGGGGAAAAGATCAGAGGGGGGAGAAGTCCCCTTAAATGTTCAAATACTTGTTGCATTCATTAAATTGAGCCTTGTATATGGCTTGTTTTTAAATGCATCTGACTGAAACCCACCCCTGAAAAAAAAAAGATAAAAATCATATATGCACTCAAGCTCCTTGGCAAATTGCTTCAGCTGAATCCCCAGAAAACAAAAGTTATATCTCAGGGTCACCCGGAAAAGTCAGAATGAGTGCAGGATTCAGTCCCAGAATTTTTTAAATGATGCTCTGATTTGATTATTCCTTCCTCTTCCCTTTAGCTCTATTACACGCTATTCCCCTCCTATTACTAAGGAAATTATTATATTTCAGAGAAGAACGTTTGGATTCTATTTCCCAAAGGGCACACTATTTGAAATACGTCATAAACCAACAGCAGTAATAACATACAAGTTACATGTAAGTACAGGACGGCGCTGTCAGACCCCAGACTGTTGTCCACCTGCACGGTCACTCGGAAAATGCCCACATTGTGATAGACGTGCTTGATGCCATCCTCCATGGAGCTGAGATTGACGTAAGATACGGCGATACCATCCCCAAAGTCCACTTGGATAAACGTCCGCTGCACGTCACCCTGAAAAACATTAGGACAGCGGGTCAGGGCTTTGTGGTTTCTGTTTGAGAGATGGTAGTTGGAGTTAGTCTGATCTCCAGCTCCAGATTTCCAGATTATGGCAATCCTGAATAAAACCCCCACCTCACCCCTACTCCCACTGTGAGGAACATCTGTTTGACAGAATCTCTGTGACATGCCTTGGCAGACAAGATCTCCCAAAGATGGATGTTCTCCAAATCTGAAGGACACTGATTATCACAAGTCTCAAGTCTGGAAAACGAAGAGTTGGATTAGAAATTGCAGTTTAATATTCATGGCACTTCAGGCTCTGTTTACAGTCTGATCATTCACACGGCCGAAACTTGTGCATGCACACAGTTCAGAGTCTAGCCACCTAGGCGTGTTCACATGAAACGTTTCTGATCATTCAGAGACCCTCAACCTCCCTCCTGACTTCCCTTGCTGGGTTGAAGAAAAGGAGGCACCTTTCCTAACAACTGATAAGATATTATGTTGAACTCAGCAGCCTTATTATCCTATTATTATTTAATTGGGGTTAATCCTTTTACAATTCCACATTTAGTGCCATCAACATGAACTCATTTTACTCTTCACAGATTGAGGTCGGAGAGAAAAACAGACAACAGTTGTTCATTTTACAGATGACAAAGCTGAAGTCAGGAGAGTTTTAAATATTTGCTCCAAACTAATAGAGTTGTAAGTTGAGATTGAAATCTTTCTACATTTCATTTGTTATTGAAGGAACATGGCATCATGAGTAAAGTATGACCATCGTGGCCAGAATTGAGTCCTAGTGTGGCAGTAACACAGAGATACTTCATGCAAGTCATTCAGCCTTCTTGGGTGGGGTTACTAAACCTATGAAACAGGCATCATTATGTTACTAGTTACTAAACCTATTAAACAGGCATCATTATGTCCATCATGTTAACTTAAAAGGTTAGTATAAAAGGCAGGTTATATTAGAAAAAAGCATTGGCCCTGTTTAAAAAAAAATGATGACATTTCCTTTAAAGCTCAGTAAGAAACACACAATTATAAATTTCCCACTTGGACTGCACAACAGCAGATATTTAGAAAATCTCAGGCTTGAACAAAAATACTGGTCTTTGGAATTATAACTGAGATTCCTAAGGAATAGCACTGCTTAGATCCAAGCGACAAAGAGCACTGTCTCCTACACAGAGCATCCTTTAATAAGCTTTGTTTTTGTTAGCTTGGTTTGCTAATATTTCCTTCTTTCAGGGAAGAGGCAAGAAAACCTTTGAATAAGAAATGTATTTTTGATTAAGTAAGGTTCATATGGTATATTTTTTGAAAAGGCCAAGTTTAAAATGCTGACATTTAAAAGACGAATTCATAGGGAAAGGAAATGCAGTTCAAATCCTTTGAATCTATGTGACCTAATCTTCTGATCTCTGCCCAGTCAAGCATTGTGGGGCTACTCACAGCAGCTAAGTCTCAGGACAAGGGCAAAAATTCTCCCCCAGGGTAGGAAAAGAAACCCCATTCAAAACATCAAAACAAATATCCAAAAGCACATAGTGTAATTACTTGAATTCCCTTCACTAATAAGTATAAATGTCACTATTTTTGCTGACTTATCTTTCATTTGGATAAGCAAGTGTGGAATAATCAATTTCTCTTTCTGTTTCTACTTAGTTTTCACTCTTAGGTTTTAGGGATTTTCAAGAAAGATGCTACTAGAAAAACCTTTGTGGAGTGTATGGAGTAACTACAGTCCACTAAATAATGCACCCAGATAATCTCCAAATAATACAACCACAATTACTATATAGTCTTTTTTTTATTTTATTGAATCACTGTGAGATACAGTTACAAGCTTCCATGTTTGAGTTACAATCACACAATGATCAAACACCCATCCCTCTACCAGTGTATATCCCCAACCACCAATATCCCCAGTATACCCCTACTCTCCTACAACCACCCCCCACATGAATGGAGACAATATTCCCCATTCTCTCTCTCTACTTTGGGGCATTATGGTTTGCAATGTAGACACTGAGAGGTTATCATGCTTGCTCCTTTATCTACTTTCAGCATGTTTTTCCATCCCGATGGATTCCTCCAGCCACCATTTTCCTAGTGATCCCTTCTCTATTCCAGCTGCCTTTTTGTATGAGAGGAAGAGAGAAAGAAAGAGAGAGAGAGAGAGAGGAGAGAGAGAGAGAGACAGAGAGAGAGAGAGAGAGAGAGAGCACACCTCTACAGCTGATAATAATAAGAACACAGTCACGGTCACGATCCTCCCATTGTTCATCGATTTGCTCGAGTGGGCCCGGTAACATCTCCATCATGAGACTTGTTGTTACTGTGTTTAGCATATGAATACGTCACAGGTAGCTTGCCAGGCTCTGCCGTGAGGGCGAGATACTCTCAGTAGTTTGCCGGGCTCTCTGAGAGGGGCGGAGGAATTGAACTCGGGTTGGCCATGTTGGCTGCATACAAGGCAATTGCCCTACCCGCTGTGCTATCGCTCCAGCCCCTAATAAGAACTGTTCATATAACTGGGAAAAGTACAACCTTAGCTTCCTTTTCCTGAGTCTACGTTGCCTTTTCCTTCCTTTCTGCTATTAACCACTCTCCTCTTTTTCTCCTGGATTAAGACCACCTATCAGTCAACTCCATTGGTCTGGTTGTGTTCCTACTTTTCTGCTTATGTCAATCTTTTCTATGAATATATCAGGTGAAAGAAAGAAGCTATAAAGTGCTTGGAATTCACAAGTCTGCCTTATAGAATAAGGCTTTTAGAGTATTAGGGCTATTATAATATGAGTTATTACAATATCAGCTTACCATGTGTCTGAATGTCACTGTGAGTAATGGCATGGAAGGTATCCACTAATCAAATCTAATGGTTCCAGAGCATACTGACCTGTGCACAGGTCTCTGAGCTTATATTCTGTATCATGATACAAGATTAACTGTCAGGTCAGAGCAATGGTACCATGGATCAGGCTCTTGCCTTGCATCCTGCTGACCAAGGATTGATCCTGCTGCACCACATATGGTTCTCTAAGCACTGTCAAGTGTTAGCCCTATGTACAGAGTCAGGAATAATCTTTGAGCACCACTGCACATGACCCCAAACTAGCCAATCAACCAACCAACCTAATGAACTAAGCAGGATTTTTTTCACTGTTACTGTTGCTTTTTCTATGCAAATGAAGGCAAGTGAATCTCAAGCCTTTGCATTCAGGGGTCTCAGATGCTTGGGAAGCCTAACACAACTGTTACTGCATCACTTTGGGGCTCATCAGTCATGATCATCCAACTTCTGGGGACACTGTTACCATCTGAGGAAGAAATGCCAGCTCCTTGCAGAGAACAAGAAACAAAGAAAAATGGAAGACACTGACATTCTAGAACACCATTTGGTTTGGCATATTTACTTCATTTTAACTGACTTGTAGACTGTTTGTTTATTGAGTATCTATACCATATCAATTACTATATGGGAAATGCTGGTCAGTAAATTGCAGCCTGACAAACAAATTAGATTTGGGTTTTTGAAAGAATTGCTAGTGGGGCAGATATACTTTAACTAAATGACTATACAAATAAAAATTTAAAACAGCAGATAATACAGAGAGAGGTAAATGAGTTGTAAACCTGCACAAGAGGGCGAGGTAGAGAGATTTAAAAAAAAAAAGCTGATTGAATTGAGAACTCCAAGGCATTTTCCCAGTGGAAGAGATATCCAAGTCGAGAAAAGCTAAAAGAAGGAACAAAAGTGGCCATAAAAAGGAGGTGTATGAGATGTAGTTAAGGAAATTTACTCTAAGGGTATACTAAGAACCAAATGTGCAATGACACAGAGGCAGAAGAGAGATGGTATAGTTAAGGGGGACTGCAAAGTGGAATTCAGTTAGAACACATATGAACTAAGGCTGGAGAGGAAGAACACTGATTCACAGATTCCTGGGCCAAGACTTGGTTCTTTGTCCTGACTAATGGGAACTGACTAATGTGTCCTAAGTAGGAATTTGGAGAAAGATAGCAAAGTGCTATCTTTAACTAAGGAGGACCACTCTAGCTATGATAAGGAAGGTGCCCAACTTCCTTATTGGGAGGAGGCCCAACTATTGCGGGGAGCCAAGTCAGGATAAAAGATCAAATTATGAGTTGCCAGAGGAAATCACATGCACCTTCTTGTCAAAATCAACTCCCATATTTTACTGGCTTTGAGATAACTGAATTTCAGCATTGATATAAGCAAGTCTCTAGAAAAAGATAATATCTGATGTCTAACAACCACGCAAGATATATCCCCTGGATGATGGCCAGTGGGGGTGAGAACAGATTTGGCTATACTTTGAGAAGATGCCCAATTGATGTACACTGAAAAGTGAGGTCTTCTCATTCAGAATGTTGGACAACAGTTTTTTTTCCGTAGGGCCAAATTCATCTACAGTGGAATATAATCTGGCACATTTGATGCTATTAATTCATTTTGGTACCATGGTACGTTTTCCTGGATGTTTTAGGATTCTAAGTTCTAAGATGGTTAACAAAGCAAGAAATAGGAGCTAAAACTACATTCAGTATGAGGGACTGGTATGCGCAAATACCACAAAGGAAAGACCCACAACACATATAGTCAAGATTAGCTAACCTCTCTAGAAAGAAAATCTTCTGAATTATAAAAGCATAGTTAATGTCAATGTGTAAAGGCTATGGCATGCTGTTGGTGGCTGTGGTCTCAGCACTTGTGCGTGCAGACAATTTCATTATGCACAATAACTTTAAAATAATATTCATATCTAATGTGCATGATCATCAAAACATTTTCCTATTAAATATTATCTATTTTTTTCTAAAACAAAAACACATATTATTTTTAATTTGCTATATAGGAAGAACCAGGACATAGAGAGTTTACATACGATATTGCTAGTCCCAGAGCCAGTGGGAGACTTAAAAAACGGTTTAAGATTATCTGTGGTTTTGCTCTATCTCAGCAGTTCAGTCCTTGTGCAGTTTCTTTTCTTTCTTTTTCTTTTTTCTTTTGGGATACCAGGACCAATGATCACTAGCTGCCCTACTGCCAAAACATCATGGTTCCAAAATCTCTTGATACCAATTCCACACATAGAGCAAGCCAACTGGTCTATGAGTACCACTCACGGCAGAAGCCCTTTTTTCCTTGTGGAGATTCTTCAATGAAAGATGTAACTCCTTTCTGACTGAAGGGGGAGGTGGTAGCAAAGATAAGATATCGCTTTTTGTTTTTTTAGATTCTATTTCTGGCTTTGGCTCATTTCCCCCCTCTCATTATATATATATATATATATATAATGTTATATATTGTGATATATTATATAGTGTATTATAAATTATATGTATATATACATGTAAATACACACACAATTTTTGAGCGCACCCATCAGTGCTCAGTGCTCTGGCTCTGCACTCAGGGATAGTTCCTGGAGTGCTCAGGGGACCATATGGAGTTCTAATGATTGAATCCAGGTCAGCCATGTACAAGGCAAAGACCCTGGTATATAGTAATAGGATTTACCAGGGCGTACTCTGGTTCTGATAATATTTTTGACTAAAAGTGGGAAGAAGGGTAGAAAGAAATTCCAAATCCACTCTGCAGGCTTTCTTTCCCTCTGGAGGTGAAACGATATCATGTTCAAGTCCTAAAGAAGGGAACACGAAGGGCAACAGGTAATCGTCTCAGTACACAGGAAAAAGACTTTCAGATAATGGAGAATGACTTGACCTTAATCACAAATTCTCACCATTTCTGAATATATTTTCTCACAAATATCTGGATTACCATTAAAATTTCTTTCCATGCAAATCTTTTAGCTTTGTCTTACTGAAGATAGGAATCTGAAGACATGAGCACGGAAGAAGGAGGGCTGGGAAAAGGTTACAAAAGTCACACAAATACCCATGTGGGGATTATCCAAGTGCACTACTGACTTTTGTAATATATATATATATATATATATATATATATCAAGGGGCTGGAGCGATAGCACAGCGGGTAGGGCGTTCACCTTACAAGCAGCCAACATGGCCGACCCGAGTTCGATTCCTCCGCCCCTCTCGGAGAGCCCGGCAAGCTACCGAGAGTATTCGATATGCCAGACACAGTAACAACAAAGTCTCCAATGGAGACGTTACTGGGCCCGCTCGAGCAAATAGACGATCAACGGGAGGGCCTTTACCTTTATATATCTCAAATGGTCACAATGAAGGCAAGATTTCTGCTGCACAGACTTACTGAAAAAATGAAAAAACAAAAATACAGTTGCTAATAACTGACATCAAACTCATCCAGAAATGAGACTCCAAGGTCCCTAAAGATAATCAGGCCAATCACAGACAGAAACTAGCATCACAGGTCAGAGTCGTGTCCTTGCAAAACTGAGAGTGGGATAGCTCAGGATTCCCCAGAACTCGGTTTTAAAAGGGACCTTAAAACTCACGCAGATAAGTGACTATAGTAGAGGCCAGTATCCACTGAATACTGTCACTGTCACTGTTCTCCCACTGTTCATCGATTTGCTCGAGCGGGCCCAGTAACGTCTCCATTGGAGACTTTGTTGTTACTGTGTTTGGCATATCAAATACATGGTGTTTCAATTCTCTCATAAAATGCTACTGGCTGAGCCCTTCTTATGGATCTTTGCTCCTTGTGGTTTGCCTAATTCACTGTCACTGTATTCCTGTTGTTCATCGATTTGCTCAAGCGGGCCCAGTAACGTCTCCATTGGAGACTTTGTTGTTACTGTGTTTGGCATATCAAATACATCACAGGTAGCTTGCCAGGCTTTGCCGAGCAGGCGAGATCCTCTTGGTAGTTTGCCGGGCTCTCCGAGAGGGGCGGAGGAATCGAATTCGGGTCGACCATGTTGGCTGCTTGCAAGGCAAACACCCTACCCTCTCTGCTATCACTCCAGCCCCACACATCCCAGTATTAGGCATGAAAGCATGAAAGTACATATCTCAAGAGGGGAGATGTAGGCAACACATATGCTCAGGCACCCCATGTGCTCGGTCATGTGGGCACAAACAGCACTTGGACTAGGGCAGCATATAAGGTAAAGGTAAAGGCCCTCCCGTTGATCGTCGATTTGCTCGAGCGGGCCCAGTAACGTCTCCAATGGAGACTTTGTTGTTACTGTGTCTGGCAGCATATCTTGCCTAATTAAAATATCTTGCCTAATTAAAATATCCAAATACTTCTGATGCGTTTGGTGCACTCAGGGTGTCATGGCCATTGATAATATCCAAGTACTTATGGATTTAATGCCCAGACCCAGAAATTCTGATGGGAACATTATACAAGAGTTTACTCATCACTTGCAAATGAGGCAAAGCACCATGTGTTTGAATGAACAGCAAATTGTCACATTTCCTTTTTATGTTTTCTGTCCTGGCTTCTGGGTTTGGCTTGAAATGAACAGGCAAGCATAAGGCAGCTAAAATATTTGGCTTTGTATAAGCAAATAAAAAACTTTACACTGAGGCCTCTTTATCTATGTATTAGGACATAGAAGGGCACTGTGCTTTGGAAATGGATTTTAGATCATAGAGAACATTGTTATGGTATCTCCTACATGGTGACTTCAGAAATCAATTCAGCAGGCTGCCAAAGGACATAAATCTCACAAATTATTACAAATTGTTCTAAAGAATCATTCAAAAAGTAAAAAATGCAGAAATGTAATAAGATCAAAATTACACATAAGATAGTGGTAAAAATATTTTATGAATATATCTATATGATGAGTAGTGAGATACATAACCAAACTAAATCAGCTTTAAAAGAGAGAAATACATCATATTTATCCATTAACAAAATGCAAAAAATACATAAAACAAGGGGGAAAACTGCCTATAACCAAACTACCCACTACCAATAGATCAATAAGAATGTACATGGACACACACATAGACACACACATAACCACCACCAAGAACAACATTGTAGTAATGGACATATGCTGTTTTATGTTATGCAATCAACATTTAAATTTTACAGTAAAAATTTACAAATTATTAGGTGATGGAGCAATCTAAGTGACTTTATACAGAGGTCTTCAGAGGTGTTCTCTGTATAGGAGGTGACCTCCAGAAGTCAGGAAGTTAGGAGATACAGTTATATGGCCTTTCAAATGCATTTTACATTTTGACCTCAGTTGCCTTTAAAGATGAACAGAATAAAGATGATCCTTGTCATTCCTAGCCCAGAAAACCTTTTGTTTATAATTCTATTATTCTTATTTTTGGTTTATGATTAGATATCCATAAACACCAAAATCCTCCTAAGATGACTGAAACAATTTTACCTCTCAGATGAAGAGACAGAACTTGTTCATATAACACCATCAGCTGGTGGAGCCTCTTCATGGCAACAGTGGTGGATGGCACTAAGAACTGGGAAGAAGACCTATGAACTAAAGATCTCTAAAGTACAAAGTTAATAGCTTGAGGAAGCTGCATACTGGGCAATAATTTCATGGATTGACAAAGCCCTGATTCAAGATGGCGGCTTCCCAGGTAGATGCAAAGGGATATCAGTGTTATAAGACCCACTGCACACAGGCACACAGACAGGCCAAGAGATTGAAAATCCAAACTGACACTCTTTAGTGACTCCATCCATCATGGAGCTCACTGGATTGGAATCCTAAAGAATGTCAATACCCCAGTATATGTGGACAGATACTGAGTGGAGAGAAAGAGTTGCTAACCAGTGGGACCTGAGGTTCAGACACTAGGCCTCTAGCTCTAGTCTCTCTATATTTCCTGTCTCATTTTCATCTTTTTTTAAGCAGAAATGAAATAGCCCAGTTGCCTTTCTAGAGTCAAAGAGAATAAAACAGAAAGAAGGAATAAAACACGAGTAAACCTTTTAAATCTCCACAGCTCATTGGAATTAGCCCCTTTTCCTTTGTGCGGAAGGAGAAAAGAGCTGAAGCTTCAGAGTGAGATCTGAACTGGCTTAGAAAACTATGCCTGCCTCGACTTAATGCTGCCTTAGCTTTGTGACTTTTCTAAAAATAGCAAATTTTCTTCAGGTAGAAAAAGTCAATCAAATACTTTCTTAAATTCAACAAATGAGGGTCTCAAAATATTTCATAGTCCTCTCTAACATGAGATGGCTGTTGTATGTTGCAATATTTATGGAGTGACATTATATTGTAGTTACTCTTGTATTTCTGCTATTCTTTCAATGTTTGTAAAATTACAGATCATTGAAATCTATCTGATGAAAGCAGCCTTCTCATTTTAGAGCTAAATCTCACAAAAAGTTATTATCAAATTTTTTTCTTATTAAGTTCCGGTCTTTGTACATAAGTTGAAGTATTAAGACGATGAAATACAGATCAAGGTTTTAATTTCAGTCCCTCGTCTCAGATTTAATTTAAAAGTCGTAAATTATTCAATGAATTGCATCTCTTTATTCTTACAGCTGTTTAAAACAGATTTAATTATCTTCTGTAACATGCAGACACCATAGTTCTCTCAAATAAATGCCTTGAAAATTGGTTTCTTGAATTCTTAAGACTGATTAGATCTTTCACCATCTATCCCATGCCTTTGAGTTCTTGCATTGGATTTTTCTCTAAAAGCCAACTCACTGCATTGACAGTCTATAGGCTCATTAGATGCTCATTAGTGGTTCAGAGGATATTTATCTCGAGTGAGTCTCTAGTCAGTGAGTTGCCATCTCTTAGTGAATAGAATGCTTGGATCACCTTTGATCAGCTTCTTAAAATCCATGTGTAGCTGTGATATATTTGGCTTCTTAGACACAATTTCATGGGTTTCTCTCTTTCTCTCTTTTTCTTTTTTTTTTTAAGTCTATGGAACAACTGCTCCTTATCCTTAAGGAAATTCCCTCTGTACGCACGCACATTTGCATATGCAAATACAAATGTGGTGGATGTGTGTTTTTGAATAAGCCACAATGAATCTCTGATGGAAGCAAAACTGTTTCCTTTGCCTTGTTACTTTGAATGACTGTTATTTCATTAGAGAATGTTTGGAGGGAACCCTCAAAGCAACAGGAGTGGGTTTTTCTGACTAATCCTTAACTTATCAACTTCAACAGAATTATATGATTCTCTGAATAAGAAAAGTTAAGGAGTTTCATACTAACTAAGTTATGAAGACAAT